GGGGTGGTCTCCCCCCTGGGAAACCTGCGGTGTGTCACATCCCAGCCCAGACCCTACCCCGTCCCTCCACCCAATGGTTAAAACCCTCGCAAGGACTGGGTCTGCCGTTCTCCACCGTTGGTGGGGAACGGGCTCCCTCTTCCCTTGCCATCAGGGAGCTGTTTTATTTACTTTGAGCGCCGTTTAGGAACGAACATGTTTTGGTCTTGGCAACGCGTCTGTCTTTGGGTTCAGGCAAACGTGCTGGAAGCTGGTTAATGTGTGGGTGAGATAATTGAAGGCAAAGACCAGCCGCTCGCGTTGGGTTTGTGTTTAGTGGGCTCTGCCGGCAAGAGGAAGGTTTGTTAATTTGTTTCGAGGCTGGGGCTGGCAATGTAAAGAATAAATTGATAATGACAGGAGATGCCAAACTGCAGAGTATTCCTACTAATTAATATTCATATATGCCGGGTTTAGTGGAACATTAATTATGTATTTAATCAAGCCCTGTTTATTCTGGTTTATCTTTGTACCTTGGGTGGCTGTTACGCTGAAGACTTCGGATTAATTAAAACGTTACTGGTGTATCACAAATAACAATTAGTGAGGTGCGAGTGGAGCCGCCTTTCTCTTTGTGCTCGTGTCGAGGGAGGAGGAGAGCGCAGCAGGATGGAGCTGGTGGGTCTGCTGCTGGTTCCCTTGGACGTGGGATCCTCCTGAAGGGGTCTGCTCTGAGCCGAGCCATGGTGGGGTGCAGGCAGGGGTGTCCCTGGTGCGTGAGATCGGGGGATCCTCCGGTGTGGGGATGCTCCATCCCTGCCCCTAATGCTCGTCCCTGCCTCTAACGCTCGTACTGCTACAGGTGAGATGGAGGACAGGATCAGGGCCATGTTCTGCAACTGTTCTTCATGCCCCGGGGCTCTCCCTGGAGCCACGGTGCTCACATGGGGGTCTGCGCCTGCCTGGAACCTTTGGTGGCTTAACCAGAGCCCTTTGTTTGCCGGTGGGTGTCCGTGTGTGGCGGTGGGCACAGGGAAAGGGCTGCAGATGTCTCCTGTGCCGGGTTGTGGCAATGCCCGGCCGTGCTTTCCTGTGGCAGTTGAGAAACTCCGGTTTCTCATCTGCAAACACCGCTCAGCCCGTGGCAGGTACCTGTCTGGGATCCCCCTCGTTGCAGGGACCCCAATGTCCCACTCCTCCGGCACCTCAAGGACCATCCTCGCCGGCACACCCTCACACGAGTTTTTTTTGCTCCGGGGGGAGCCGCGGGGCTGATGCCAGGGCGGCTGCTGGCAGGCACGAGGTGATGCTTCCAGCCACCCTAATGTTGCCAAGGAAACCAGAATTTTCCCTTTTTCTTTGCGATGCGGTGGGCAGAGCGGGGTGGCCCCAGACCCTGGCACATGCCGTGAAGCCCACCCCCAGGAGCTGCATGCAGAGCTGGGCTCATCCACTTCGCTCCAGCCCCTTCCTTCCTGCCAGAAAATATCTTGCTTTTCCATGTTCGGTCCTATCACTCCGTGTTTGCTCCCCAGTCCGATTGCGGCGATGTTTCTGCAGCAAGTGCCACCATTAAGCAGGGGTGTCTGGGAGGGAGCAAACAGGCCATGGCAGCGGCGCCACGGCGTGCGCAGAGCCACCGGGTCACGGTGCGAGGTGGCACCGACGTCCCCTGCTCGCCCCCCGAATCTCACGTGGCTCCACCTGAGGTTTTCTCTCCAGTTCCCGTTGCCAGAAACCCATTAACAAGCTGGAATTTTATTTTTTTTTTCCTTTAATGAGAAGGAACAAAGCGAGGAGCAGGACAACGTGTGAGCTAAATACGGAACGAGTTCACCCTGGGTGGCAAAGGTGCTGCGGGGAGGAGGGAGGGATGGTGAGGTACCGCTACAGGCAGGAGGGAAAACATTGGAAATAGAGAAACTTTTAGGTGG